TAATTGCAGTGCAGGTATAAAATTTTCATTACGGCACGTGAAAGGGTTGCTATTCGATCTAAGGCATAATGCACCACCTTTAAGTGAAGTTTGGCAAAACGTACCTGCGTTTGATCCGACCGAGCATTGCGGAAGATGCTATGACAAAATGTACCGCGTTTTAGTCACTTTTGGCAAACCGTACCAGTGTTTGGTCTTGACCAATCAGAGCAGGGAAAATCGCACTATTGACTATATAATGGTACATTCTGTTTTTTGCCACCCGTGCGCATTTCTTCATTATTTTGGTCCAGTGAATCACGGGATTCAGAGGAGAATACGGGTCTTGTTTACAGCACTGATGCATCCCTACCATGATCCCTCTCGAGCAGCTCACCTCTCCTGGCCCATGGGGGGTCTTGTCATCACAACAAATAGGCGCCAAACTAATTTTCAGGAGCAGTTTTCATTAAATATAATATGAGGTGGTATAATTGGTCCGTTCTTTTTACGCGGTTGACTTTACTGGTGATTCATATGAAGGCACTTTTTGCGATACGAATTGCTGGTATTACTTGAAGACTTGCTTCTTCTGTTGAAGAATCAAATGTGGTATATGCATGCTGGCGTATTTAAATGAAGTATTTATATCAATACAAGTGGATGGGACGAGGTGGACCTCAGCCATGGCCCCTAGGTCGTCTCCTGACCTAAATTGTCTAGATTTTATCCAATGGGGTCCTCTCAAGTCTCTAGTGTATACAACACCAGTTAATACGTTGATGCCCTACTACATCAAATAGTAGATGGATATAAAACCTTAAGTAATACTCCCGGGGGCATTTTTGTATCGAGCGTCTAGTACACCGCATCGGGAAATGCCCGAAGTCGACACGTATCGAGCGCACGGTAATCCGACAACACTTGGACTACCGTACGCTCGATTCTTTTGGGCAGAAATATCTTGGTTTTTGTGTATTTACCCCTTCATAAATAATGACGTATTGTTCGAGATAGGTGAACAAAACAGTAGTAAACTAAATGTCGTAGAAAAGAAAAAATAGTATATTACAATCCGAGACGGGAAATGAGGTCGGGAAATGAGGAGGGAAAAAAGGACGGGAAATATTTCCCTGCTCCATTTTCCTGTGAGAATGTCATTATTCCCGCACGCAAAATCGTTGATGAATGAAGCTTATTCTTCAACGATTTTTAGTGACATTTAGTTTTCAAAGTATACCTATAGGTACCTTCAAAAATTTCAAACCTTCCAAAATGATAGAATCCACCTGTCAGTTGGTTGGTAAGTGAGTGACACCAACTGACATTTTGAAAATAAAAAATTCCCAACTAACAACGTTCACAAAAAAAAATTTAAAAATGAAAAATAAAATCCAAAATCGAAAAAATAGTATAAAACACACGTTGTAGAAGGCTATTCTCGCACTCATTCGTTCGTCCACTCGCTCCTTCGTCGCTCGTGACCAAATTTCGAATTCTTGCGGGAATATGTGGCCTTCTGCAACTTGTATTTTAATATACTATTTTGATATTAGTTCCAGATCGTGAACCCATTGCTAAAAAAAAGTGTACTTCAGACGTATGACACGTGAGCTAAATTTGATAACATTTAAGGTACGGTTTCGCTGACGCGTCTGGCGGTGGGGACGGATTGCTGCGTCTTTTGCAACCTCAGACGCAGCCGCCGGTCGCGGCGACAAGTGGTTTGGTTGGCTCGTCTCATCCTCTCATCTCTTTTATTTACATTGAACATCTTGAATTTTAAAAATAAATTTGAAACATGTTCAATGTTTTGGTTCCTGTCTGATAACAAAGAAATAGCTAATACCGTCTCTCTTTACCGAAAAGGGAATTTTTTCTATGGATTTTTTTTATTGGAATTTTTTTTTAATGTTCACTCTCGTAGTCGTATATGTATAGCATATTTTTGAACTTCTTCAATTAAACAGTTCAACCTACCTAGCTTCTCGAAAATTTAGCCATTTTTCCTACAAAAATCGCCTAGCAGCGCGTCTAGACTGGTGTACCTAGCAATCGAGTCACGAACGCTGCGACTAGGTCGCTAGTGGCCGCGGCTGAAACGCTCCAGCAAAACCAGAAGATCTGTGCCAGAAGTACACAATAACAAACATCCTACACTGAGAAAATTTTTTCATCGTCAGAGTAAGTAATGCAGTAAAGTTCACTTTACAGAAATGGACCAGCTGTTTACTATTATTAGTCCAGGAGGTGGCGCCAAAAACATGCAAGAGTTTTTGCAAGGCGGATATTTTCGAAATAGGTCGTACTTTAGTGCTAGAATGCTAGTGTACAGTCAGCACTCACAGTTCCGGGACAGCTGGCTCTGGGACGCGGGCAAAGTTGTAATTTTAAGAAGCATCTAAACTGTTTTCTCAAAGCTCAAAATTTATAGAAATTTTGCACATTATCTGTTTGAAGGTCACAGATAACGTATGTAAATCGTCAGACGTCTAGTTCGTTGCAAAAAGGGGGTCAGACGTCCTCAAAGTTTTTATTTTATGGCATTTTCTTCAAATATATTTGTCAAATACCTGCAAAAATATATTTTGACAGGACACCGAATTGTCAATATGACATTGTTTTTGTGTGCCACATTCTAAGGATAATTTGTTAACTAACGGACTTACGGCCAGTTCCATAATCGCAAAAAAGCCTACTTTATTCTTAAAAAGCTCGTTTAACTTCTAAAATCTGTTCCATAAACAATTTTTGAAGGAGACATTACGAAAAAGTGACGTTTACCTTAAAGTGCCCAGCTTGGCCAATTACGCGTTGAAAAGAGTACTTCATAGGGCAATCGAATCTATAAAGTGCCAAATTACAGTTTCTATGTTTTGGTTATTTCCATAGACATTTCATGTCAATATCAAAATGGCAAATTTCGACCCATTCAGATGAAGAGGATGTAAAATAATATTGAGCGATATAGGATGAGAGTGGATTGTTTTGAAAAATATGACGACATAGAATTCTTTGACCGGTTTATTTAGGTTAACAAAACCGACCAAATAATTCGAAATTCATGACGCGGTCGAAAACATTTTCTTATGGGTCGTGACGTCACAAGGAAGTAATAATCGGGTCGCGCCGCCGGCGCCGTCACGCCATGTGCTGCTGGTATCGCCATTGTCAAATCTATCGTAAATTGCATAGCTTTGAATATAAAACAACAGGAAGGAGGAATTTGCGGGACCAGAATATGTGGAAGTTGCATATGGCCGACTAGTGTTTCCGGTTTGGCAGTGGCGTATATTTATTTAAATATGATTGTCAATATTATGACTCACCCTTTTCGCACTAATCCCAGTGCTTATTATCACTTAAAACCGCTAAAATCCATTAAACATCCACTTGAATGAAGACACAGCGAACCACCAAAACAAATGATGGGTCATACTTGGAGGCTCAATATGGCCGTTTCCGTCCCTTTGTTGTCTGTAGTGACAGATAGAAAACGCTCCTTCCTGTAGTTTTATATTCAAATAAGTGGCATACACATTGGGCATACATAACAACATAACCATAATCTGAATCTACCTGCTCGAAGTTCGAAGTGCTTGTCACTGTCAACGAAATTTTGAATTTTGTTGCCGAGTGACGTCACACTAATTGGTCGTTTCATATGGCGATGTTTCGAGCGTAACTTCAAATATTTATAAAAAATTAACGGCTGATTTTTAATTCTCGATATTTGGTATGACTAAGTCTTTAGTGTAGTAGAACACATTTTTGAAATAAAAAAAAAATGTGTAAGTTCCCTATTCAAATGCAAGAACTCCCAAAAAATTCCCAATTCCCATTTTTTACTAGATTTTCATATTTATGATAAGAGATGGCGCGACCAGGCGACAAAAAACTAAACAAAAAACCAAAATCCAACGATGTGGAAACTTGAATTTTCCATGTTCATTTTTGCAAAATAGGTTATGTAGAATAAAACAAAAATGCCCTCATTCACTCACCTCAACGTCTTGCTTAGTTTTAAACTTTGTGCGAATTTCGCTGGAATTGACAATGTGGTATGTATAATTATCTGGCCACACCATAATTCACTAATTAAGTTAAACAAAAGTTAACTGATAACGAAACTTACTTATAAGTACGCGAATTCAAAATTATGCAGGACTATATCCAGTATCAAGCGTACGGTAGCTTGACAATCGATCGGGATATCGGATGCTCGTTTTAAGAGAGACCTCGATTAATACGACGTTACCCGATTGCGGAGTACTGGATGCTGGATACAAAAATGCCTCCCGGGGTATTTGAAAGAGTGCGTGAATTAATCCGAAGACCAGAGGCCTGTATAAAGGTTAGAGGAAGTCACTTTCAACCGAGCTTTCAACAATTATTTTTAACAACCATGAGTTAAATCCTATATAATTTTCATTATTGTAATAAATCGTTATTCCTACAAAAACCGAGTCATCCCGGAATCCCCAGCTTTAATTTTTAACAAGAGACATTTAAAATCATTTAGCTCCTGTCATCTACCCATATTTACTCCATAATAATATGTGTATCATATCATTATTACACAGACGTTTCTGAACATTTCTCGTGTTTTAGTTTGAAATTGTTTTTTCATTTAACATCTGGAAATATATTTCAAAGCGTTCCTCGCAGCCTCGGAATTCATCAGACGACGTAGCAGAAAATGAAAGAAATGCAAAGAAAATGTCGAGGTGAAAATAAATTTGGATATTTTCCTTTTATTTAGATAAAGATATTATTATGTTCTGTGATATCTTGTATTTGTAGCAAAAATATGTGGTGTTTTTGTAAGCGATGTTACTTTTTTGCAGACCTTTTGACCCGTAAAGATTAACGATAATATATTCGGTTCTGCCCCGTTAAAATAAATCCTGAATCAGATAAGCGCGTACCAAGAAAGTATTAAATCTTGGGGGCTTAAAATTATGGAGCACAGAAACTGGCAGAAGGAATATTCTATATTTTTAAATCAGTCGTATTTTCAGGTCTCATGGATCAGAAGAAAAGATTACCATCTGCTAACGGTTGGCTTAGCGACTTACAGCAGCGACGACAGATTTCAAGCCATTCACCTGCAACACTCTGAGGTAAAAATACATTTTAAAACATTTTAAACCCTTGTGAGATTTTCCTTTTGAATAAACCTGTTTGCGCCTCCATTTATATGGGTGTTCGAGGATAAAATCTAAATGAATTATTTTAGCCCATTTCCTTCTTTTTTTTTTATCTCGCCAGAGAAATACATTTCTCAAAACTCAAATATTCACCAATTGCTATAAATGCATTCATTTTCCGAGAACTTTACTAAAGTTTGGTGACGATTGAAATTATTGAGAAAAAAAGGCTTTCCAATTACTTGACCCTCTGATTTTTTAGTTATATATATACAATGGTTATACAGGGTGTCCCAGGGAAAACAGTCCACCCCGATTTATTGGGTTTGGGGTGAGAATCTGGGAAAACGCTCGGACACGTCGATGTTTGATTTGAGGGGGAACTATTTTTCAGTTTTTTTCATCTCCGTAGATTCAACCCCCTAGCTAGGGGGACAACAACCCCCCAAATTTGAATAGGGAATAGGGGTCGTTTCATACCTCTTTTTAAAGGTGTCATCAAGTTCTTTATGGCCCTAGAATTTCATCTTATTATTTTCATCCGTTACGAAATGACAGCTTGTCAAAATCTTGGAAATGGACTATGTATTAGTAGGAGTAAAAGCGGTACTTACCTCCCTTAATAAAAATACGAGTGAAAATACCTACAATTTACAATTCTCGTGTACACCTCATTAATAATAATAAGAAAAAACTTCATTTCAAGTATTTTTATTAGGGGACGTAAGTATCGCTTTAGCTCCCACTAAAACTAATAGTCTATTTCCAATATTTTGACAAGCTGTCATTTCGTTACGGATGGAAATAATGAGACGAAATTCTAGGGGCATAAAGAACTCGATGAGACCTTTAAAAAGAGATATGACATGACCCCTATCCCCTATTCAAATTTGGGGGGTTGTTCTCCCCCTAGCTAGGGGGTTGAAGCTACGAGGATGAAAAAAACTGAAAAATAGTTCCCCTCAAATCAAAAATCGACGTGTCCGAGCGTTTTCCCAGATTCTCATCCCAAACCCAATAAATCGGGGTGGACTGTTTTCCCTGGGACTCCCTGTATGTATGTGTAAATTGTGACAGGAATAATTGAAATAACAAAATTGCTATTTTAAGTGTAATTTTAGAAACTGGTTGGATATACGAAAGTTGAAGATAATGACAATCGCGCTATGTCTATGAGAATATTTTTAGCGTTATTATTTTGAGTATGTGCTCCATTTTCATCTATTTCCCATTCGTATTTATCCGTCGAAAATATTTGCTTCATTTAGTCGTCATACCTCAATACTTATTTGACTTATTCACTTGTGGAAGTGTTTAGTGTTTGTTTGATAGAGAATAGGTTTCTTGAATGATTTTTTTTTATTTTCTTATTAGAAAGAGGAGTCAAAATTAAACTCAACTGTGTTTTTTTTCGATTTTTTACTTGCAAAAACTCTAAATTTCGATTTGAAGTTCGAATTTCTTGGTGCAAATTTCTGATTGGTCAATTTTATCGAGTGTTGCCCAGATGTCATCGATTTCATGAAAACTTTTCCTCGCGGCAACAACTTAATCAATATATCGAATCAGATGGTTTAGGTTTAGTTTCTTATGCTTTAGTTATTTATTATCAGAAATTTGTAAGTATCGGAATAGGGAACTTTTTAATTCATTTTATTCATTATTTATTTTTATATTAGCCTGTCCAAAACTCCAAAACAGGCAGAAGGCACGAAGGCACACAAAGGTTGCTCTACCTGCATTTTACTAATACCTCTATCATAGTGTTGTGTTGGGAGTAAGTGGATTATGGGAAATAAGACATGAGTATAATTTTTATGTGTTTGTACCTATTCGATACTAGTTTCTCTAAGACGAAGGCCGGTGTTACCCAATTCCTTAAACCCTAATCTCTAATTCTTATTTCGTAAAATATTAGCTATCGATTTGGTCCTGTTACCCAGTTACTCAATTTTTTTTCGGTCACCAAATATATAAGACTAGATTGATCTTCGGTATTCATGGGTTTTTTATTTCAATATTGTTTTGTTTTCAACCAACACAAAATCACAACAAGACTATGAAGCCCTCAGAGCAGGTAAACGTAAGGGAGTAGTAACATAAATTTGGAAAATGAAGCTGTTTTTACAGGTATTTTGGCACCAAAAAAATTTCGGTATAGGAATTGGATAAACGCCATCATTTAATAGGACGCTGTTAACTTGTTATGAATCAAGCACTAAGAAATAAGAATTAGAAATTTAGAATTAATGAGATGGGTAACACCGGCCCAGCTTTTTACCTTTTCACAGGCGAAAACATCCTTTTCCCCTTTTTTTTTCGCTGTGTCTAGCCTCCCGGCACCGGTATTCATATAAATCCCGGTTATGACGCGTTTTCAACAACGTCATCAACAACCACCGGTAACTGTCGTGGATCCCGGCTATTGCAATACAAAATGTTAATAATAATTATTATATTCATTGGTATTGGGGCAGAATTATTATGTAGAGTAAAAAAAGTAAACGAAGTCGGGCGCGAAAGCTTTTATTTATGGGAAATAAAATTATGACTTCTATTATGTGTTTCAAATTCGAGCCACATCATTGGGATCTCGGAAACGGTAAGATATACAGGGTTGGTTAAATTGGGGCAAAGTTGCGTAATTTGATGCTTAACAAAATGTCGCTTTGATATTTAGGATATTCCAAATACTTCCGGAGATATCCGGAAAAAAACGAAATTTTGCAAAACTGTTTTTAATTTTTCCTGACTTTATTTGAAGTGATATTCCAAAAAAAAATATCACCTCATCATGGCCACTTTTTCTCTCCTACAAGATGCTATCATCAAATTTAAAATCTGACGTTTCATCTTTGGGCCACCATCATCAACTCTATTTTTTTAAATACGACCCTGGATTTTTTATTTCAGATTTTTAGTGCTTCTGATGTCCCAAAACCTATGACGTATCGCATTTATTCGAAAAAATATTTTTTCCAGTTTTTAGTAATTTCCTACCAAAATTCTCTTCTCTGTCTCTCTCTAACACATTTGGTTCTTATGGAAAGTACCAATAATATAATTTTTTTAAATAAATGCAACACGTCATTGATTTTGGAACATCAGAAGCTTATGAAATCTAAAATAAAAAATAAGGGTCCGTATTTAAAAAAATGAAGTTGATGATGGTGGCCCAAAGACAAAACGTCAGATTTCAAATTTGATGGTAGCATCTTGTAGGGGAAAAAAGGTGGCGATGATGAAGTGACAATTATTTTGGAATATCACTTCAAATAAAGTCTGAGAAAAATAAAAACAATTTTGCAAAATTTCATTTTTTTCCGGATATTTCCGGAAGTATTCGGAATATCCTGAATACCAAAGCGGCATTTTGTTAAGCATCCAATTACGCAACTTTGCTCCGATTTAACCAACCCTGTATATCTTACCGTTCGCGAGATCCCAATAATGTGGCTCGAATCTGAAACACCCTGTACATAGAATACATAGGTATAATTTGAACATAAGTATAAATTCTGAAGTAATCACTACAACTTTTTGGTATCAATGGTGTTTACATTCCAGACAAATCCATTCACATTTAATGTGTCTCCATAGAAGGCATAAAAGATCATACATACAGCATTACGCTGAATTGTACAGCATTTTGGAAGTCCGTTCAGGATTTGATCTTGTACTGCAACGCCGTTATTGTTCAGCAACATCACACAGGGTGCCCAAAAATTAAAGGTTAATATTTTAACTGCGGATTCTAAATCTAAAATTAAGAACAAAAGTTCCTATAAACATGGTACCCTATTTCAGAGATAGAGGGTTTTAAAAAAGCTATAAGTCCCAAATAATGAATGAAAATAAACCATACTATAGTTAAATCACTACTACGAAAAGTGGATTAACGAAGTACTATTACCACTCTTATACCAATATCATCACAAGAAATAATAATACATAGAAGCTATTCCGGAATTATTTACAGCCTCAAGCAGCAAGAGAAACACGACTTTGAATTTTGAATCCAATAGCCGGGATCCACGATAAATCCCGGCGGTCGTTGATGACGTCATTGAAAACGAGTCGTAACCGGGATTCGTATGAATACCGATGCCGGGAGGCTAGACACAGCGTTTTTTTTTTCAAACTACACTAGCATGACTCCGGACAAAGTTTACTCTGGATTACCTTTCGGAACCGTTTATTGGTTTATTTTGAATAATCCCCCACTGTCAGGGACTGTATTTTGTTGCTAATTATTGATTATTTTGTTTGGTAAATTGGCCAGAGGTCACTGACCTAATAATAAACAAAAATCATCATGACAAATAAAAATCCCTTTTATCGTTTCCGTACTTTATACTGTGCCGGATTAGTACTTTCTTTTTCTAATTCGTATTTATACAAGAAAACAAACTTATCAAAACTTCATTAAGTGTCGTTTTATTTTTCATGTCAAAAGTAGAGCTGTATCAAAGTCGATCCACAAAGCGATTTTCATATTTATATGCCTCCTTTTTTGTTCTATGTGTTAAAAAATAAAAAATAAAAAAAAGATTCGTTTGGAACATGGAAATTTGGCAAACAGTGATTTTTGATTGGTGCAAAAATATAGCGTAAAATTCAAATAATCTGAATTTTTTTCTTCAAATTTCTGCCTTCAAAATTTTTAAAAAAAAATTAACCAACCATACTGTTATGTAGTATATAAAATACACTTTCGTCACAGATAAATTATATACCTAATTTCGATTGAGTGCAAGAATTCTATTAAATCAGCTGGCTGACAAAAACTCTGCACAAGAATTTGGTCAAAGTGAAATAACTTCAAACATCATTTACAATACAAATATAGACACTCTTACGTCTCTTCTGGAACCTTTTCAGACATGTATCTAAGCTTCGATGACCCTGATTCGAGAACTACACATATCTACCTGAAGAAGTGTTCAGGCTGATTAGAACAGATGCATTTTGTT